AAAAAAAAAAAAAAAGGACCCTCAGCCTCATCCCTCCTCCCCAGGTTGGGGCATCTGGTCCATGAGGTAAGCAGAATGGTGCTCACTCTGAGGTACCATCCAGGCTTTAAAAGGTTTCTTAAGGGTGTCTAGAAACTTAACAAAAGATAAGCCAAGTGCTGGTGTCTGGTCCCTATAGGAGATGTGGGGCTGCCTGGGTTGTGTTCCAGCTGGGGCTCCCTCCCTTTTACCACCTGTACTCTCATCACAAAAACCTCTACTCACTTATCTTCATCCCAGAGGTCTCACACCCTACCAGCTCAGCTCCCACAAACCAGGAGCAGCCCACCCTTTGCCACACATCTTTCCACTAAAACTGTGGCCTGCAAGCCACTCTCCCTATTGTCTTGCTTCCAAATCTATCTCAAGAGAAAAATAACAGCACCACCTTCCAGGATGCTCTGAGGGTGAACAAAACCGTTCCAAGGGAAGCGGAGAACTCTGTGTGGCTCACAATGAGAGCTTGGTGAGGCACTGTCTGCACTTGTCACCCACTCCAGTAAGAGCAGAACATAGGACAGCCAGGTCTGATGCCCCCTGGGCTAGGCCAGACCTGGGCCCAAAAGCTGGTCCTTTCTCACCTTCCTCCTGTGTCTTCTTCATGGCAGACTGCTAACCACCTCTGTGTTCATCAGACTAGCACTCAAACTGAGAGCCCCCTGGGGCAAGGCTGCTGCCTATCTAGGGAAAGGTTTCCTGTGATATCCACTGGCTCCTAACAGGAACTCAAAGAATATTAATTTTTTTACAGTTTTTTTTAATTTTTACTTTCAATTGGCTTTCTTTTTCTATTCTTTTCTTTTTTTTTTTTTTTTGAAACAGAGCCTCAGGCTGTCACCCTGGGTAGAGTGCTGTGGCATCACAGGTCACAGCAACCTCCAACTCCTGGGCTCAAGCAAGTCTCCTGTTTCTGCCTCCCAAGTAGCTGGGACTACAGGCGCCCGCCATAACACCCGACTATTTTTTGGTTGCAGCCATCATTGTTGTTTGGTGGGCCCGGGCTGGATTCGAACCCACCAATTTAGGTGTAGGCACCGAACCTTTTCTTTCTTTCATTTTTTATTTTATTTTATTTTTTTGAGACAGAGCCTCAAGCTGTCCACCTGGGTAGAGTGCTGTGCCATCACAGCTCACAGCAACTTCCAGTTCCTGGGCTTAGGCGATTCTCTTGCCTCAGCCTCCCGAGTTGATGGGAGTACAGGCGCCCACCACAACGCCTGGCTATTTTTTGGTTGCAGCCATCCCTGTTGTTTGGTGGTCCCAGGATGGATTCAGACCTGCCAGCTTAGGTGTATATGGGTGGCACCTTACTGGCTTGAGCCACAGGCACCAAGCCTCTTTCTTAATTTTTTGAGACAGAGTCTCGCTTTGTGGCCCTTAGTAGAGTACCGAGGAGTCATAGCTCACAGTAACCTCCAATTCTTGGGTTTAAGTGATTCTCTTGCCTCAGCCTCCCAAGTAGCTGGGACTACAGGCGCCTACCAGAACGCCTGGCTTTTTTGGTAGAGACAAGGTCTCACTCTGATTCATGTTGGTCTGGAACCTCTGAGCTCAGGGCAATCCAAGCGTAAGCCACCACGCCCCACTGAATATTAATTTTTTTTTTTTTTGAGATAGAGTCTCAAGCTGTCACCCCGGGTAGAGTGCTTTGGCATCACAGCTCACAGCAACCTCCAGCTTTTGGGCTTAGGCGATTCTCTTGCCTCAGCCTACCGAGTAGCTAGAACTATAGGTATCCACCACAACCCCCGGCTATTTTTTGGTTGCAATTTGCCCAGGACTGGATTTGAACCCACCACTCGCGGTATATAGAGCCAGCGCCCTACTCACTAAGCCACAGGCAGTGTGAGTAAGCCACAGCCCCCTGAATATTAACTTTTTTTGAATGAAGAGGAAAAGAAAAAATAGAAACATGGTAACTCTTTTCCCCTCCTAAGTAGGGCTGGATGAAGCCCTGAGTAGCCTTTACACCTGAGTAATCCACTTTCTGGCCTGTACCAGCCCATCCCCTACTCCCTAGCCTGTAACCCTGCCCATCCCTCCCCTACTCAGACCTGCCTAGCATTTCTACAGGTAGGACCATCCACCTGAGCGCCCTCAGGTTCCTGAGGCCCAGCAGCCCTCCTACATGCCACATGGAGGTAGGGGAAATGGGAGCTCTGCCCAGTCCAAGGTAGTGACAAACAGCTCTGGCCATCCCTTCCCTGTGGACAGAGATGGGCTGCTTGCTCCAGGCCCAGCACAGGAGACAACAGGACAGCCAAGCCAGCAGTGATTTCTGTCCAGGGCCTCTGTCCTGCCAGTTTTGCAGCCCCACATCACTCACTCCTCTCTGCCAGGATCTAGCCCCTTCTCACAACTTGCTGTGCCTGAGGAAAGCATTTACTGTCTCTTTTGCATCCCCTGCCATAGCCACACCTGTCCCACCCAAACACCAAACTCCCAAGGAAGATACAGGAAAGGCGGCCCCAAGGCCAGAGTCAGACAGAAACACCTGCCCCGCCCCCCTTAAGCCCCTTCCACCACAAACAGTGGTGAGGATGGGGTCAGAACACCAGAGTCCCTGCAGTTGAACTCAGTCCTCAGCAGGGCCCAAAAGTGATATCCATGGCACAGAGGCCCAGTGGTCAAAGGTCAGAAGCCTGGTGGCTGTGGTTTGGGCCAAGCAGCCCAGGTGGATCTCACAGAAGGCCAAGGTAGGGACGCCCCTGGGCAGTTAAGGCCTCACTAACTTTGCACTGATCGCTACAACCCACCGTGCCCTGAGATCCCAAGCCAGGCAGTCCCACGCAGGGCCCTATCCACAGGAGGCAGCCACACCTGGATCAGGCTGATGGTGCCTGCACCTCCAGAGCCCCTCTCAGTGGGCACTGCAGCAACCCGATCCCCAGTCCCAAAGTCCCAGATGCCTGCACCAGCAAAGACAGTGACCAGCAGGGCTCAGGCTCAGCGCATGCTGGGCTGGGGGCGAGGCCGTAGGCATAAGGCAAGCGGTGCCCGTGGATTCTCCTGGGAGACTCAACTCCGGGCAGGAGCGTGGGCGTGGGAAGAGGGATCCCAGCGCGGGCCAGGCTCCAGGTGAGGGCCCCGCAGGTGCGGAGCGGAGCCGACCCTGGACACCCGGAACGGAAGGTTGGGGGGTCTACGAGTGTCGGCCATCAGGAGGGCGGACAGGTTCTAGGCCTCCTCCCCGGACTCTGGCCACCCCTAGGCGGAGAGAACAGGAAGGACAGAAGCGGAAGGACTGGGCCACCCAGACCTCCCTGCCCAGCCCCGCCCCGCCCTAGCCGCCACCAGCTCCACCCCGGCACTCCCCGCAGACCCCCGCCCCGCCGGCCCACAGCCACTTTCCGGAGGGCAGGTGCGGCGCTGCCCGCAACCCTCTTCGCACGGCACCCGGGCCCACCTCGGAAGGGCAGCGGCGCTCCCAGGCGCACGCGCACAGTCCCGGCCAGCGGCTCCCCTGGGCTGTAGACTACGCGGCCGTGGCTCAGGCGGATCTCGAAGAGCTGCACCCGCCCCATCCCGCGGCCTCGCCGCCCAGCAGGGCTCTGACGCCGGTCGGCCCCGCGGCGCAGCCCGCCCCGGCCCGCCCTGCCCCGCCCCCCGTTCGCCTCCCTCCGCCCCCTGCCCCGAGGCCCGCTTCCCCCGCCTCGCCCGGCCCGCGGGGTGACCGGAGCTCAAGGTACTCCGCGCACAGCGCTCCCAGCGCCCCCTTCGCCCCAAAGGGCGTCACGGCCGCTTACCTGTCGGGGGCGGAGCCGCTGGCTGGGAAGGAGAGGTGTATAGGACGCGCCCCGCCCACCGGTCTTCCTCACTCCACCCTCAGGAGGACAGTCAACAGGGGCCCTGGGTCTGGGCGGTCCGCAGGCTCCGCGCGGTCCTGGGGTTCCCCGAGGGAGCGACACTTGGGCGCAGGCCTGGGCAGGGCGCGCTGAAGACCGGATGGCACCGGGGCAGAGGGCGTCCCGGAGGATACGGGGCGGCGTGGCGTGGGGACCGGTGGTGGCGGGGAAGTGGGTGACCAAGCAAGGAGAGTAAACTGTGATTTACCTTTGGCTAAAAGTCCTTTTGCGGAAAGTGATCCGCGGAGATGGAACCCAAATACCCAGGGACGCTAGTATGGGAGAGAGGAGGTGTCCCTTGCCTGGGGACCAGTTCAACATGCAGGTGGGTGAAGCGGGAAGTCAAGGCGGGAATTTTGTCCAGAGAAACTGGCAAAAGCGGTGGCATCCTTGATGGAGAAGATTAACCTAGATACAGATTGTTTGGGGGATGGGAGAGTGGTGGCGAGCGGAATCCCACATGCCCTTAGATATACCTTCATGAACAATGCGTTTCCACGCACAAGTTCGCGAGGCACGGGGCTGAGGCTGGCTGGTTGGCAAAAACACATCTTACGGTAGACTCCAACTACCAGACTCAAAGGATCCTCCTGCCTCAGTCTCCCCAGTAGCTAGGATTACGGGTGTGACCACCATGCCTGGCTAGCCTTTCTTTCTTTCTTTTTTTTGTTTGTTTGTTTTGTTTTGTTTTTTTGTTTGCAGTTTGCCCAGGGCTGGGTTTGAATGCTCCGCCCTCAGTATATAGGGCCAGCGCCCTACTAACTGAGCTACAGTCGCTGCCCTTGGATACAGGGTCTTGCTGTGTTGCTCAGGCTGGTTGGAACTCCTGGGCTCATGAGATCCTCCTGTCAATCTCCCAGAATGTGGGATTACAGGCGTTAGCCACTTTGCTTGGCCAGAACTGAAATTTTGATAACTCTGGTTGTGACATCACAGTTTGGAACATAAGACAGAATCTGGGCCCCACAGGCTGGAGGGGCCTACTAGCCTGGCTGGAGAGATGCCAATGAGTCCTGTCCTGCCAGGCCCCAAAGCTCTGGGCCCACCTGTCTTTACAGTGGGGAGGGTCTAATTGGCCATGCTGAAGATGCTTTGCTGCCAAGACTGTGGGTAGTCTCCAAATGCCAAGTGTCCATGATAGAAGTCAGGAAGGAGGGTCTGACTGTGCTGGCTGCTGCTAAGATGGAATGCAACAGGAGGCCAAAAACTGGAAGGACCTTACATGTCTCCCACAGTCTACTTCCAGAGGGCTCTGCACACCCAGCCCCTGCTTCACACCTTGCAGCTGTGCCCTCTGGTCACTACATCCTTCCTCTAAGGAAGCTGAGCTTCCCCAGCAGATGTTTCTTTTCACACAACTCTGTGCCCCTGGGCCAGCAGGTGGAGTGGGTGCCCACCTCCCTGTAACCACTTCCAAACAATTCTCTACCCGCTACCCGCTTTAAATCTCCTGTTCTGAGAATAATAACCTCACCTCCCTGTTGCTGTCATCTGAGAAGCTCTGCTTACTTCCCCTCATGTTGTGATTTTAGCTCCTGACTCACCATCGCTCTCTCCAATTACACTCTTGTGGGAACTGTGAGTGACTTCAGAATCCACACAGGTGATCCTTATGACCTCCTGGCCTGTATCTTAAGATGTACCCAGAATTGTCTGAGTCAGATATGGTAAGGTGACAGACTCAGAGAAAAACAAGTGCCTTAAAATAAAAGTTTAATTAACTGATGGTTCCCGAGATGAGGGGGTGTGTGGTGCCATGCAGGGACACAGGGGAAAATGGGCAAGGCAGGGTAAGGTAAGTTTGAGCAAGACTGGGATTGGATAGTATGAACAATCCAGTAGGCTGTAGGCTGTGTCAGTGATCTCTAGCTGTCTGAACCCTTACCCCAAGGTGATTTAGGGTAGGAGGAATGCTGCCTTAAGGTATGAGAGTCCATAAAGGAGATGGTTGGGGATATGGGCTCTGGGTTGGTTGGTTTGTATATGAAAGGCATGCTTGGGTGGCACCCGTACCTCAGTGGGTAGGGTGCCGGCCATGTGCCCCAAAACTGGTGAGTTCAAACCCGGCCAGGACAAACTAAAACAACAACTGCAACAACAACAACAAAAATAGTTGGGTATTGTGGCAGGTGCCTATAGACCCAGCTACTTGGGAGGCTGAGGCAAGAGAATTGCTTAAGCCCAAGAGTTTGAGGTTGCTATGAGCTGTGATGCCACGGCATTCTACCAAAAGTGACAGCTGGCTCAGCGCCTGTGGCTCAAGTGGCTAAGGCGCCAGCCACATACACCTAGGGTGGCAGGTTCGAATCCAGCCTGGGCCCGCCAAATAACAATGACAGCTGCAACCAAAAAATGGCCGGGCATTGTGGTGGGCACCTGTGGTCCCAGCTGCTTGGGAGGCTGAGGCAGGAGACCCACTTGAGCCCAGGAGTTGGAGGTTGCTGTGAGCTGTGATGCCATGGCACTCTACCCAGGGGGATAGCTTGAGGCTCTGTCTCAAAAAAAAAAAGTGACAGCTTAAGACTCTGTCTCAAACAAAAAAGAAAGAAAGGCGTGTTCACAAGCAAGGTGTCTGTCATCTCTAGGAATTAGCCAGCCCTGAAAGGGGTAATTTGTCCCTGATTAGCAAAACACCTGAGATGTCAAACCATCATAAAATACAGAAAACAAAAAACATGATTAATACAGCCTCTCAGTCTCATGAGTCTTCTCCCCCAAAGCCCTCTCTTGCTTAGGGCTCAGCAGTTTATCTACAAAGATTTCAACCAACAGTTCCTTTTATTCCTTTTGTTCCTCCCATCAGAAGATGGGTTCTGTCTCCTCCCCTTGAATCTGGCCTGGGCACACGACTTTCTTTAAAATGGGAGAGTTGGCGGGGTGTGGTGTCTAATGCCTGCAATCCCAGCACTCTCAGAGGCCAAGGCAGATGGATCGCTTGAGCTTAGAAGTTCAAGATCAGCCTTAGAAAAAGTGAGACCCGGGGCGGCACCTGTGGTTCAGTGAGTAGGGCACCAGCCCTATATACCGAGGGTGGTGGGTTCAAACCTGGCCCTTGCGGGCACCTGTAGTCCCAGCTACTCGGGAGGCTGAGGCAAGAGAATCGCCTAAGTCCAAAAGCTGGATGTTGCTGTGAGCTACGATGCCACAGCAATCTACTGAGGGCAACAAAGTCAGACTCTGTCTCTAAAGAAAAGAAAAGAAAAAGTAAGACCATATCTATACTAAAAAATAGAATCTAGTCCCAGGTACTCAGGAACCTGAATGAAAAGGATCACTTGAGCCCAGGAGTTTGAGGTTGGTGTGAGCTATGATGATGCCATAGCACTCTAGCCAGGGAAACAGAGATTCCGTCTCTAAAAAAAAATAAAAATCTAGGCGGCGCCTGTGGCTCAAAGGAGTAGGGTGCCAGCCCTATATGCTGGAGGTGGCAGGTTCAAACCCAGCCCCAGCCAAAAACTGCAAAAAGAAAAAAAAAAAGAGTGGTGCTTGTTGCTCAGTGGGTAGGGTGCCAGCTCCATATGCTGAGGGTGGCGGGTTCAAACCTGGCCCCGGCCAAACTGCAACAAAAAAAAAATAGCCAGGCATTGTGGCAGGCGCCTGTGGTCCCAGCTACTTGGGAGGCTGAGGCAAGAGAATCACCTAAGCCCAGGAGTTGAAGGTTGCTGTGAGCTGTGA